TGAGGATGACTTCCCTTGTGCAGGCCACCGCCCTCTCTTGTGTCCGTGGGGCCTCCAGGCTTCTTCAGCTGCATGTGGCTGCCCGCAGTGTCATCCCTGTCCACTGTACACTGTGGAGCCTCGTCATTGTGGGAGAGCCCAGTGGGTGCCTGAGACAAGGGGGCTGCTTTCCTGGTAACAACAGGTGGGATGAAAAGAAACCTAACTCAGTCCAGCTCACTGCAGAGAAAAGCGTCTCCTGCTGTTGACAAACATCAACTCGTTCATTGTTCATTTAAAAATGTTGCCATAAGTAGATGGCAAACAGAAAGCCTATAAGAAATTGAACTGGAGACAAAGCGGGGGAAGAGCTTTCCTCCTTCCATTTATGACAGAAAACAGCAGGTTGGAGAGAAGACACGGACTGGAACACACAAGAGCTCTGAGTGACAGAAGCTGCCTTCTGCCCGACCCCAACTGCATTCTTCCCAGGCACAGCTTTCTTGTTCAGATTAAGTATACCTGTTGGTTGAGACCTCAGCACACATATTTCCCTCCGTTCAGATGAGTCAGGGAATAAAGACTAGGGTTTCTCTCATCTGATTAACAAAATAAGTTAAAAAAGAAGATTGCAGCTCTTAATGAAAAGGATGGTAGCGGGTTTAGAAGTGTGGCTGGGAGATTAGCAGGTGATCCAGGAGGCCTGTCATTAAGAATGGACACTGGAGACACCGAGTGAGTCACCTCCCTCCTCTAAACCTTGGGCTCCTTGGCTCTAGAATGGGGCCATCGGCAGGATTAGGAGATTATGTGAGTTAATGCTGGAAAAAAAACAGCCAGTCTGCCATCTGGCCACCATGCTGGGATGTTGCCTCAGTGCGAAGCCAACATCAGCAGGCGTGACCTGGGACAGTGGGACGCCACTGGGAGTGTTGGCTGTGCTGTCCTGTCATCCTCGTCTACTTTCTTTTAAAACGAATGCATCAGCATTTCTGATCGGCCGCCAGTCGAAACGCTTCTCTCGCCCCTGCCCCTCCTGTCCCCTTTCAAACCAGGTGGCTCCACAGGGTTGAGCCCGAATGAGAATTATAAGGGCAGCGTGGACTTGATTTTTCATTCATGTTTGGTTGTATTTTTTCCCCTTTCCTACCACCATGAATCTTATTTAAGACATCTGATGTCAGCTTGTGAGAGTTTAGATTCACCCGTTACTGGGACTTGTTAGCTTAAAACAAAGAAGCAAAAACTCAGAACAATCTATGGTCTTCACCCTGATTTCCTTCTCAAGGGAATCTAGCTCTGTGCTGGGCGTGAACTCAGCATGCTCAAATCAGACAGCTTAACTATAGAGAGAAGGGGGGAGAAAATGAAGTTCTTGTTGCATTAATTACATCTTAGCACCGTGGCAATCCCAGGAAGAAATGGTTGATTGGTTTGCACCTAGCTAATCCCCTTGAAACCGACCTTTTTTTTTTTCGGAGATGCAATAGCTTCGAAACAGAGTTGCTCCTGATCTCTGGAGGTCAGCGTGAGTCATTTTTAAATGGCCCTCCGTTAGTCTGGAAACCATCTGTTTGTTTGCAGTCCAAGTATAAATTTTCCACTGTTCCAGGCGCGGTGACGATGGCACAGCTCCAGAGAGACACGCAGTGCAAACAGGAGTCCTGGGGCAGCGCCTCTCTGACAGGGAGGGCCCCTGCCAGCCCTGCTCGAGAGGCACTTCAAGTTCATTTCCATCCATTTGATTAGGAACAAAGAACTGGAGAAAAAATGTGGCGTCTTTTCAGACTTGAGCTTCACTCCTCTCCTAATACTCTCTCTCCTGGTCGCCCAAAGGATTAAATCTCAATCTGTCTCCGTCAAGCACCCAAGAGAGTTAGCAAATTCAGTATGATTTGCTTTTGAAGGGATATAAATAAACAGGGAGATTAAAGGAACATTGCTAGGCACAAAGATGGTGTTAAATGTGGCTGGAGTGCGTGGACTGTGTCTGCCTTTCCTTCTTGATGTTTCCAGTAAATTGGGGGTCAACACTTGATCCATGCTGTACTTATGCTTGTTTAGTTTTTCCATAACCAACTCCTCATAGCGACACTACATGTAAGTACACTAGGAGGTCAGGACATTATTGCCAAAGTCTATAGACCCAATCATTAAAGTCCTTTGATTTTCAGATGAGGGTAGGGCGTGGGATAACATGAACCCAGGACAGGAGTTTGTCCACAGACCTCCTCATGCTACTTGATGAAAATGGCTGTGGGGTTTTTTTCTGGTAAACCAGTGAAGAAGATGTTAGCTGCTTTTTGCCATGTTATCATAGCTTCAATTATTTATTCAAGTTTTATAGGAAAAAGCTATACCTTAGACCACTTGGAATCTATGTTCTACCTAGAAAGACTCACAGAAAATAGTCCAGAGACTTGTACACCAATGTTTATAGCAGCATTATTCACCATCGCAAGAACATGGAAACAGCCCAGATGTCCAACCACAAACGAATGGATTGAGAAATTATGGTACATTCACATGATGGAATACTATGCAGCACGCAGGAGCAGTGGTTTTGTAAATCACTGCCTAACATGGGAGGGACTGGAGAGCATTATGCTGAGTGAACTAACTCAGTCCCATACAGACAAATACTGTATAAGACAATTACAGTAGAATGAGTATGAGGATCTTAAGGAGGGGAGGGGGAGTAGAAAGGAGAAAATGGGCAGGGTTCGGACTTAATCAAAGGGTCACACAATTTGACGGGTGGAAGGAGGCGTGGCTAAAAGAAAGGGGAAATGTCCAGTGTGAAAAACAATGTATATGAATTTTATAAGTAAACCAGTATAAAATAAAAATAAATAATAAGTAAATGTTAAGGAAATAAATATTTCAGACATATAACTATGTTATACCCAGGGTATATTTTATTTTGCAGCTCATTTCAATGAGCTGGCATGAGTTTTCTGAGAGTTCAGGTAGAAAACTTGAGGAATGAGATTGGTACTGCTTCCTTCTTGCTAGTCATGTAAATGGCATCCCAGCTGAAAAGGCACAAAATAATGTTCTAAAGCCACATGCCTTGAATGTTTTCTTTTTTAAAAAAATGTGTAAATGCAGAAAAGCTTACAAGATTGTATTTGTGGAATAAATAAAATAGTCTACTATCATTTATGCGGGAGCTCTGGTGGCCTAGCGGCAAGAAACGGCACTGCGATCCCAAAGACACATGATTCAAGGCCACCAGCTGCTCTGAGGAAGAAGGATGGGCAGTCTCCTCCTGTGCACGTAACTGCTTCTGAAAACCTGCTGGAGGGTCAGCTGTGGGTTGGTTCCAACTCAATGGTACACAACAAAATAACAACAATAACAAAATTTATTTATTACTCTTCAGGGTCAAACAAGCAAGAAAACAATAATATTGATAAAAGTAGGGACTATCACAAGTTAATAATTATAATTAATGATAATGGTACCTTTCTATCATTTCATGTTAAATATGGCAGATTTTGTGAGGGCAGAAAGAGGTAGATGATCTCACAGAATATAATAAATTCTGTTGTTTACTTTCCAAAGCAGTTATCGTGCTACCCTTTTCTAGAAGTGAAATACAGTCTTTCTTTACTTCTCAATTGACTCAGTTTGAAAGACTCCAAAGTCATGTTTCACTCCTTCCAGTTTGCTTCTTAAATGACAGCTTTTTCCAGAATAGTGTCATTGCAAAGAGAAAGAACAATATTCAAATATAATATAGTATAGTACTTGTAATTAAAAGTATACATGAAATGTAAAAAGACTATTTGTAATACCTTAGGACACTGGAGCAGAGACTTAGCTTTGAGAGTGCTTTTCTTCATTCCATAATTTTAAATGCAACATTAACCCCAAGAGTTTAACATAAATTAGATGAATTGGTAGGTTTTTATCTTATGGGTTTACAAGTTAGTTATATAATATGCATATGCTTGTGAATGTGTATTATAACTTTATTTTATCATTGGTTGTAATTGTCCTTTTATTATATATTAGAACTAACTAATAAAATTTATTCTGGTTGCCTGTAGTAATCAATCTCAGTGAATATGAACTATGTCTTATATCTGGAGAAACAAGATTTCTAATAGCTGTAGCTTTTGGCTACAGTGAAGTAAGACTAGAACTCTCTAGTTTTTTCCTTACAGTCATGGCTTTGCACATTCCTTCCTTAAAATCCCTCGTTTATGATTGCTGAGTATTGGTTTGCCAGTGATGGTAATGATGTGTGTATTTAAATTCCTTTTCACCAGGAACTGCTGAATAACTTATCATTGAAGAAACTTTTGTGGGTTTCTGTTTTTGTTGGGTGCTGTCAAGTTGAAACTGACCCGTAGCTGACCCTCCAGGGGGTTTTTAGAGACAGTAAATAGCACTTAATGTTCACTTGATCTTTGCTTGCTAATGAGTTGTGAAATGAATTTTGCTACCATTTAAAACATATAAGGACAGCTTTTTAAGGAGCTTGGGATACAAAGAAGCAGTTTGGGGTTTTGTTTTGGTGTATTGTTTTGTTTTTTTAAGCAGTTTGTTTTGAGGAAAGGTTCCCAGCCCTGTCTTTAGATTCCAATGAGTCAGAGATGCTGAGGGTGCCACTGGATAGGACAGGGTTCAGATCTGTTGTTCAGAGTGTCGCTGTGAGTCATCCTCGGCTCGACAGCACCTAACGATGATATCTGAGAGATTATTCTCTGTGTGCTTAAGTCGTTTATCAGAATACTAATGTTCCTATTGTTGCAAAATTATAATCGCTGTGCATGTGATGGTGGCTCCTGGTTCTAAGACTCCAGCCTTGGCTCCCAGCCTTTAAAAATCGACCTCTCGAAACATGGTCCCTATTGGTGTGAACAAAAACGGCCTGATGATGTTTTTATAAATGAGCTGCATACAGGGAGCCAGAGCATCATGTGCTTTTGATGTTTGCATGGCTGTACTGTGAAGGCTCAGGTTCAGCACAGAAACAGGCACCCGCTCGAGGCATCTGTCCAGCCCCACAGGAACCTTGTTCCCAGGAGGCAGGTCCTGGGAGCCCTGACGTCATCCCCGGGCTGGACCGGATCTGCTCCGAGAGGCCTGGTCAGGAGGTGGTGGGAGATGGCACCGAGTGGCTGCCACAGCAGATGGGGTTTGTCCTGGTCCCCTGAGAGCTGAGCTCTGAGAGGCCACGGCTGTGAATGTGGTAGCGTTTATCACAGTAGTAGCCCACGCTTAGATGGGACCCGGCCCCAGGGTGGTGATTTCCTCTGTATTTCTCCTCCTTTTCTACAACACCCTTTCAAGAGTGGTTAAAATCATTATTTCACCTCAATGACTGTGCCACTTGAAGTAAATTAGAGGAAAATTGGTTTTCTCCTCAGGCCCAAAGAAGTGGATAATTACCCTTGGCAAAGTAGCTGTTGCAAATCTAACACCACCAGCTACATTTGGTAAGAATTATATATCTGAGGTTGCGATTTCCAGGTCTCTGACATGCCTGTACTAGTTATAAAGTGTTACTAAGGAGTGCTTTTCCAGTTTCTTGAAAACTAGTAGAAAGCTTTTGAGTGTTAACAACACCAAATCCAAAGGATTCACAGAAGGTCAGGGACACAGGGGCTGTGGCGGCCATCTCCACAGGTCTGGCCATTCTCACAAGAATAGTTGAGTTGCTGGTGGTCGTCTGTGCCATCAAGTTGGAACGGACTCACAGCTGGCACTTCAGCGGGTTTTCAGAGACGTTAGATCACACGTGAGAAGGTTACCCGTCTTTCTTCCTTGGAGCAGCTGGTAGAGTTGAACTTGAATCCACTGGAATTCGCAGCGCAACCCCTTACCACGTGGTCACCAGAACAAGAATTCCTAAGTCTTTAAAAAAACCTGATACACAGCACCCAGTTCACCTCAGTGAAATCCCACTCAGGTAGGATTCCTCAGGGCTCTGGTGGTTTAGAGTTAGTTAAAGGGTGGTTGTTAGGTGCTGTCGCCCTCATTCTGAGTGGCACAAGCCTGTGTGACAGAGCAGAATCGTCTCCTAGGGTTTTCTTGACTGTGATTTGTACAGAGCACATCACTGGGCCTTTCTCCTGTGGCCCTGACGGCTGCGTTCAGATCCCCCGCATTTTGGATAGCATCCAAGTGCTTATCCATTGCACCACCAGGGCTCTTTCAGCAAAGTCAGAGATGACGAAATTCTACAAGGCCAGAAGCCTTTTTCCAAAAGAGCCAAGTAATATGCAGGACTGGATGTGATCAAAATGCAAATGATGCAGGTAGATCAATTTGCAGGTGAAAATTAGGTATGTCTCAAGTCTGAGACAGTTCCTAACTGTTCCTTTACTTAAAACTGTAAAATATTTTGCAGACAATTTTTGCTTGACTGTCTCATGTCTGACAGCTTCAAGAATATTCCCAAACCCACTGCCATGAAGTTGGTGCTGATTCTTAAAAGCACAAAGAATTTGCACTGGGCACGCTGTGTTGGTTTTCTTTTAGAACATCACAAATTGCCACAAAGTTGTTGTTGTTGTTATGTGCCATCGAGTCGTTTGTGACTCATAGCGACCCTATGCTCAAGAGCTCTAAACACTGTTCTATCCTGTGCCAACCTCACCGTCTCAATCTAGTCACAGAATCAATCCATCTCATCGAAGGTCTTCCTCTCCTTTGCCGCCCGTCCTCTCTGCCAAACATGATGTCCCTCTCCAAGGACCAGTCCCTCCTTGCAACATGCCCAAAGTATGTCAGATGAAGCTTCAGAATCCTTGACTCCAAGGAGCATTCTGGCTTCACCCTCTCCAGGACAAACCTGTTTGTTCTCCTAGCAGTCCATGGTATATTCAACACTCTTCTCCAGCACCACAGCTCAAAGGCATCAATTCTCTTTCTATCAACCCTATTCACTGTCCAACTCTCTGATGCATAGCATGTAGTTGTGAAGACTGTAGCCTGGATCAGGTGCACCTTAGTCTCCAGCCTGACGTCATTGCTCAGTACTCTTGAGAGGTCCCTCACAGCTGACTTTCCCAATGCAATTAGTTTCTTGATTTCCTGGCTGCTGTTACCAAGAGTGTTGATTGTGGAGCCAAGCAAACTAAAACTGTTAACTATCTCAATCTCTTCACCATCCATACTGATGCTGCCAATTGGCCCACAAAGTTAGGAACTTAGACAACACACATTTTTTTCTCATAGTTTCTCTGGATCTACAACTCTGGGCCCACTTAGCTGTATCCTCTATTCTTTAGGCTGCCAGTACGTCATCACCCCACTGGGGGAAAAAATCTTTTTCCAGGCTCTCTCACGTGGCTTAGTGGTAAGGAGCTGCACTGTCAAGAATAAGGTTTGAATCCATGGGAGAAAAATGGGCAGTCTCCTCTTGTGAGATTCACTGCCTCTGAAAACACACTGGAGGGTCTGCTGTGAGTCGGTTCTGACCAAGTGGTACACAAAGAGAGCAACAGCCTCTGCTTAAAACTGTGAGTCTCTGTTTCCTTGTCGTCTGTTGTCCTGGGGCTACTTCTAGTACCTAGAACCCACCCACAGCTCCTTGCCACAAAGCCCTCTCCACAGACTAACAACATAACAGCTTAGTCTTCAGAGCTAGCAACCAAGTGTTGCTCTGCAATCCCTCTCCTCAGGGACAGTGTAAGCCTCCTTTGAAAAGGAAACTGCACTGCAGTCCCAAAGGCATGAGGTTCAAATCCACCAGCTGTTCCATGGGAAAAGGATGGACAGTCACCTCCTGCAAGATTTACTGTCTGAAAACCTGCTGAGGGTCAGCTATGAGTTGTTTCCTACTAAACTGTGTACAACAACAACAATAATAAAGGTCTTGAAGGCTGGATTAAATTTAGCATTAACATAACTATTTTTCATTTAAAAAAAACACACACAAAGGCTCCTAACAGATTAAGTCAGACTGACTCAGGATATCTGTTCTTGGTTGACAAAATCAACTCATTAGAGGCTTTAATTACATCTTCAGCATTCCTTCACCTCTGTCGTATAATGGAATCTCATCAGGGGATGCCTTCTCCTCACCTTTGATAGAAGGAAGCCCAGGCCTGAAAAGAGGAGAATGGTCAAGGCATAGATGCCAGAAGATAGGAATCGTGGGCAGGATGTCACCCTAGGACACGCCGTGTGTGTCATCATGGGCACTCCGTGAGTGTGTTCGTCAGTGAGCTGCTCAAGCCTATTTAAAACAAAGTGTTATGTATCCAAGATACTATTATGCATTTTTCTTTTAGTTTAGAATAGAGTCAGGGAGTGGACAGTTCAAGAAAACGTATCCTTCCCATCTTACTGAAGCAGGATTTTCCCATCCAAGAGTCCACACTAGCACAGCCCCATGGGTGATAGCCACATCTGTCTCTCCCACCGAACTGGACACATCTACACAAGTTCAGCCTTGTTTCTAACCTCCCTGAACGCCAGGCAGCCTTTCTCCTGCACCCTCACTCCCCCATCCCAAATCAACACCATTCTCCTACATAGAGATGGGCTCATTTAAACTAGAAAAATATCAGATTTGAGAATGAAGGTGGACTGACCTTCATGGGTCTTAAAATTGTGTCTCTCTCATGTTGAGTATTGCTATACTTCTCTTAAAACTGAAAATATCTTGGGGCACCACTGTGGGTTCACCCTGTGGGTTGCCTCTGTGCAAAGTTTGGGCACTATCTCTGCCCTGTGTAGGGTCTCACTTGCACTAAGCATTTACTTTATAAGGTCGGTCAGAGCTAAGGTAGGAGGTGGAAGAAGACATTGCCAACAACTGGCTTGACCATCATGCAGACTGAATTTCAGAAGCTTAGCAGACCTGCTGTGGAGAGACAGAGGCATGTTTATTCCCAGGTTGATGGGGAAGGAGGCATTTTGCTTATGACAAAACCAGTATCATCCATGGCATGATGCTTTCTGATGAAATATCCTTGTAGCTTATTTGAAGCAGAGCTGAAATTTTCAGTAGTACATCAATGACACCTTTGTTGTTGTTTTGTGCCGATGAATCACCTGTGACTCATAGTGACTCTATGTACAAAATCCCTAAATACAATAAATAAATCTACTCATTTATCCTAAAGAGTGCTTCCTCCTTTAACGGTTAGCTGTTTATTTATCTTCATTAGACATACTATGGGTTTTTTGCTTTGCTTTGTTTTGTTTTAATAAACTTGAAGAGAGACATATAAATGTAGGCAGAGATTATCCCACCCTTGAGCTGGCTAAGAGTTCCCAGGGTAGCTGCTGGCAGGGCACTGTGGCAGGTTGAACTGAGCTGGGATGCAGGGCCGTTGAACGATCCAGGGCACAGGTAGAAGAAAAAGCCTTGGAAAGGCCTGGGGGCACCCTGTGCTTCCAGCAAAGGTGGTGAAGATGTTTCCACAGCAGACAACTCACCTGAGCGTACAGAATTCAGTCCTCTAGCTCATCTGTGACCAGATCACCTTGAAGCCCTGTGTGGGCAACTGTGCCATTGACAATTCTTTTTAAAATAATTTTTTGACAAAGAAGATTAATCAGAACTGGCTTTGACAAGCACTGTGGCATTTGGACAAGAACAAACTGGGAGGAGGGTAGAGAGAATAGTGCAACAATGAATGAATGGAAACCCAAAATCTCTGTAAATGTTTATGAAAATTAATAAAATATAATTATAGAAAAAAAATAATTTTTTATTGTGATTTTAATGAAAGTTTACAGAAAACTTGGATTTCCAGTCATTCATTCATTGTTGCACATTTTCCTCTCTGCCCACTCAGTTTGCATTAAAAAAAATAAAATTATTCATTGTTGCCTAATTTCCTCCCTCCCCCACCCATCCCCAGTCCACTTTGCTATGTACCTCTTGTTCTGGACTATTGCCATGCAAACAATACCTGCTCATATATTCCTTTTAAACAGTTCTTTCCCTCATCTTTTCCAATGTAATGTTCATTATTTATCCCCTCTTTTTCAAGAAAATATACTGATTATGTACCATTGAGATATAGAGAAATACATGGAAATAATCTGTATGCAATCCAGAGGGACGGCCCACTAGGAATTCTGTAAACTGGAAGGAGGGCAAGTGCTGGCCTGCAGTCAAGTGTATTCTCTCTTTGTATCATTGCCTTCGAGTTAGAACTGACTCATAACTGGCCCTCAAGCAGGTTTTCAGAGG